ATGATAATTTCAGTTTTCTTGTACTGGATCATCTTGTGGTGTCTTTACAGAAACCAGACCTCCTCATCTGACCAGGGATCAGTATCACTACTCATCACTGGCAGTTTACCTGTAGCCAGTCTGACTGCTTCACCCTCTGACAGTCTGAGCTTGTCTATGATGCTTGGGAAAGTGTTTGCGTTTTGTGAGATGCTTGCTGAGGTCCTTTTTCTTTGCCAAGTACGTACTTATCCCAACTGGCAGCTAAACATCTGGCAATTTTTTTTTCTTTTGTGTCCAACTCCCAGTTGGTCAAAACTGTGCTGAGGAAACAGCAATTTAGTTGCAGAAAAACATATTGCTGAGCTCTATTCAGCTATTTGATCCTATTATTGTTCAGTTTTTCATCAAGTTTTTAACTAATTCTCATCTTTGTTCACACCCTTGGTTCTGTGTCAGTACCCACGGATGAAACAATTTCTGCCAAGATTACTAATGAATCAGAAATGAGCAATGGCGCAGTCTTCTATTGTGGTGGGCCCGGGAGTTAAAGAATAGCCTACTGGCATTCCTACCAATTTTGTCAAAGAATAAAATAACTAGATAGCATGAGGAGAAGATTCCTGTTTGTAGAAGCTTCTGGCACTGAAGCATTTCAGTCCACCAGCAGATGACACTCAAGGATTTGGCAGCGTCCTCAAAGCTAGTAAAAAAAAAAAACCCAAAATAAAAAACCGGACCTAGCTGTGGTTCCTTAGCCAGTGTCTGCCAATCCTGCTAGAAAATATCTGGTGGGTTATAACTATGTTGAGCATTTTCCAAACGCTACAATAGAGAATTCTCCCTCTGTTAACTGGGGAGCTGAAATGTTGCTTTTATTTTAAAACCCAGAGGACGGTATACAAAATCTTTTTCCAGAACCAACTTTAGAGAGAATCTTTGTCCCCATCAGCCATAGTCTTTATCCCTAAAGGTAGACCGTTATTGCTCACCACCTCTCAACCTTGATGATCTAAGTACAGTCAGCTGATTTTGGCAGAATCTCACTTCTCTCTCCAAAAAGGGCCATGGAAGAGGGGGCAGAGTCCACTTTGAACTATGAAGACTTTTCCATTACATAGACAGTGTGCCATGTCTTGTCACACAGATCTAAGAGAGCATAAAGGGAACAAAAGCAACATTGTAAACACTGGTATACCCGAAGGCTGTGTGTAACGTTCCTTATGTACTTCTACGATCTGGAAGGCGTTTCTTCATCACAGCAAGACATTTCATGAAGAGGAGAGGGAGAGGTGCTGAATGAGTTTGTCAAGATGTCCCCTGTGAGATTCGAATTAGGCATTACCTGGTGAGGTGACTACTTATCTGTAAGGAGGCTGGGCTTTGCCTCATCTATGCTAGATAACAGGCAGCAACTACTGTCTACAGATGGGAGTTAATGATGTAATTCAGCTCTTATCAATCATGGTCACTTTAGAGGGAGAGATGGTCTTGGGGGGAAAAAAAAATCCCTACAGCAGGGAAAGGCTCTGAGCCAGTGTTTCATAGGAAGGGACTGAAAGCTAGAGGGCTAAAAGACCCTTCGTTTTGTGTTCCTCAGACAAGTCAGAAGTTCACCACCAACGTGGTGCGACTGCTGAAAAGCAGCTGAAGCCCCAGAGCCATCGGCATGGAAAAGCACTGAGGGCAACCACTCTCCGAACCGCGACCTGCCGAAAGCGCTCTCAGAGCGATGCGCGTACCCTCCTTCCTTTTTCTAGTACAGCTGGGGACTCAAACGAGCAAAACCTACTGGTGCCAGCCCCCGGCCGTACCTAGCTCAGCTCTGCCACAGCGAAGCTAAAACGCTCCTGCCCGCTGCGCGGAGAGGCTGCGACGCCCATCGCCACAGCCACCGCGGGCAGGGA